GAACAGGGTTTTTCTAGAGAGAAACTGGCATTATTAAACCTTGGATTTTTGCCATTGGATTTTTTTTTACCCTTCTTATTTATGCGCTTTACTACTGGACCGAAACCATTAACTTCTGGTCTAATGATATTTTTACCAAGGTAATTATTTTTGCTAATTGATATGGTTTTACTGATGTAATCACTTTGTATTTTCATCACCATTAATGCAATCTGTTATTTTTTGTGGTCGTTCTAGCCTGCTACTGATATGCTAGTTTCTTATACGGGAACACAGCCATCTACTTGAGTGAGAAAAGCAAGAGTGAGTACGGAACATGTTATGGATTATGGCCTGCTGTCTAAATTCACGTAGGAAAACACCAGTCATAATCCGTTCAGCACCAATGATCTTGAATCGACGCTAAGTTGTTATTGATTCACGATATATATAATCTGATTACTTAGTAATTCTACAATATGAGTACATATATAATAATATTCCATAAATTAGTTCTGGAAGATAACATTCCTTCCGTTTTCGTTCGGATACGACAGAACGTTTATCGGCTAAATCGACTCGAAAATACGTTCATGACTCACTTATAAGCATACATCTTCCCCAATAAATCAAACCACATTTTCAACCAATAGCGTGTCACTATACTCAGAAAGTTCAACCAACTTTTGGCCATAGTGTGCACTTGTCAACATCTATTTATCATTTGGTTTATATCTTATTGGCTTAGACTATTACAATCTAAGCAGAAATTTTGTAGTAATAAATGATTCGGCAAAGTTTAGCTTATTAAATTCACTTGGTATTGTTTACTTGAATCTTCCCATTGATGTTTAGGACTGCAATTAATCAGTCTCTGTTGGTATATTTGCATACTGTGCGTATTGCCTTAATTCACAAGCATTATAAGCAAAGATAGTTTGTGGCTAGCAGGGGAATCCAAGACGCGCATTTCACCCTATTTGGGACTCGTCAGCTGGATGTACCGGCATTTCTGAGTTGATGTTCACTCTGGGACTCGAACCCAGCACCGTTCGCTTCAAATGCTATCGCGTTATCCACTTAGCTACTGAGTCCTGATAGTCACTTGTTGGTGCAAAAGCTAACTTATTTACTTGTAGAAAATTTTATGTCATTAAAATTCTAATTTTAACAACTTTGCAGAAGTGTTCACATTACTTTATTATCGTGATATTACTGTTCAAGCTTCTGTGTTTGTTACTTTGAAAATGATCCAGGTTACTGACAAATTGTTTATTTATTCCAATTATTCATTTCATACCGCATTTTCGAATGATTTCAAATGATACCTTAATGATGAATAATTCGAATATGACAACATTAAATAATTACACAACTAATAATATTAATAATCATACAACTATTTTAATGAAAGATAAACCAACTTATTCATTTCCATTGATATTCTATGTAATATTAATAAGTGGCTTCCTTTTGGATAAAGTTACATCAACAATTATATATGTACAATTTCATGCGTTTCATGCCAAAATAAGTGATCCGATTATTGGAGGAACCTATATGACATTATTGAATACTGTAGTAAATCTTGGTATGAGATATGCTCTTTTTGTGCTGTTTGCTATTTTGTCTATTTAAATTATCCGTTTGTGTTATTTTTTCTCTAATCCTGCCAATATGGTTATTATGATGAAGAAATGAAATGATCATTCACTAACGTTCATTGTCCAACTTTGATTTAAGAGTCATTTGATATTACCACAATATATGAGTCAGTATAATCAAATAAAAAAATCACGTTCATATGGTCAATATGAGTTAACCATAATGATCACTTCGTTATGTTCACTTATGTGTCATTTAATGTCGAAATGTACATCATTCATTTTTCTTAATCGAGTAAAATTTCTTGAAAATATAAAGTTATCTATAGGGTTTCATTTAAATTATTGAGTTCCCTTGTGTGACACGTTTCCAAACGTGTCTAGATAGGTATGAAATATATATTTATATTGTTAATCATTGAGCTTCAAATAGTCAACTATTTAATATACCCAGTATTCATCTGAGAATTTTATCCTTAAAGTGAAACAACACTTTATCATGTTTAAAACTTGATACTAAATGAATCCCAGTATTGTAGCGTGTAATAACTGCTACAATTGATCAGTTCAAATGTAAACATCAATGACAACAGTAAATTTGAAATGGATGCACTAGTGTTGACTAAAAGTATTGCTAGTCATTCAAGTTTGATATTTGTTACACAGGGATCTTTGTCTTTATCTTGTTAAGTACATTATAAGAATTTATGGTTGGCTTTATCAGTGAAATGTTCATCAGGCTCTCCATTTGATTTGTAATTGTAGACTAAAACGTAATTATTTGAACCAAAAGACATTTTATTATGATTTTCTGTTTTATTTTCATGTATAAGTTTGTACTTGGTTAATTTTTTTCCACAAGTAAAATGTAGTTGTGGATATTATTATTATTATTATTATTATCAGCTTTATTCAATATTATATTTTTGGTACAATATAGAATTCTCAGCGTAAAGTATTTCAATAAGTTTCCGTTTCTTTCTTCTTCGTCGGTCCTGGCGATAAATATTTAGTGATCGCCAGTTAGATGTTAGCAGTTCACTAAATGAACATCTGAATAATATGCATTCTTTTGGTTGTATATTGCCAGCAACCACATTGTCTCTTATTGAGTTGTTTGTAACTTTGACAACGAAAGGTTGTACACTTTTCAGAAACGCAGCAGAATAGGTTGTGCGATTAATAAACATAATGATATATTAAAACAAACAAAAATAGATAACTTGTTGAAATATCTAGATGACAGGAACAGGTAGCCCAGATGCTCAAGCAGGCCGCCGAATCATCCACTCACTTTCATAACTTATACCAGAATAGGTATAGGAGTTTCCAATAATTCTATGTAAAAGTTTTCAGAGGTTAGGGAGATGTTGAAAAGTTCTTCGACTAGGTAGGATTTTTGAGATATTTGCAAGAGAATGTTAAACAACGACGAATTATTTTTTTGCTGTCCGATTGAACAATTATCGACTATTTTACCAACTTTAAGAAATGTTTGCACCAATGTGACTCATTAATATAGTGAACAGACGATCCATCTCACTTAAATGTTTGTATAGTGAATTTATTTAAAGTAGCTATAAAGTTGTATAAATTGAGTTCAAGAATAATAGTTTACTTATTTTGAATGTTAACTGATCTGATCGTTTCATATTGGTCATTTTTTATTTGTTCAAAATAGCTGGTGCTTTAGGAACTACTGTCTCTCTCGCTCTAATAGAGCGTTTGACAATTCATTCATGTACGAAAAATGCCAGTCATTCTGGAATACATACAAACACTAGTGGGGTATTTTTAAATAGTTCATTGGCTACTGAAAATACCACTTGCAATGCTTTAAATGGAAATAACGTATGTGAATATAATTTACATGCTATACTTTGTACAATATTTTCAATTTATGTTCATTTTTCAATGATAACACAGTTTGTTGTAATGCTATCTACTAATAACTAGTAGGATTCATGACAAAAGAAATGGACTTGGTAATATTTTAGTATTTTAAGCAGAGATGAATGTTTAATAACTGTGGGATCCAGAACGCGTGATTCGTCCTATTCAAGACTCATCAATTGTATGCACTTGTACTGGATCATATAATTTAAATGATATCAATATACGGGTGTGCGTACCGAAAGGAAGCGTCCAAAAACAAAGTTAATAATTGATTATTTTGGTAATCGAGTAACATAATTAAATTGTTTTTTTCTGTACAACTGAAGGTGTTATTAGGGTTAATTAAAGTGAAGACTATTATAAGGAAAAAACAAAAGAGTTACGAAATATAGATTAGAAGAGGAGAGTATCTTCGGTTACAAAAGTATATGAAATGAAAATACTAATAATAGAAGGCTAAGACGAAGACGAAGCCTATTTCTTTTGTGTAGAAAAATCCATAGCTAGCAATCACTTTTACCTAGTGGACGAGAATATTCACCAATCTGGTCCTAAAACAGTGGAAAGATAGTGGTTAAGGTTTCCGTCTTTGATCATTTAATTGTCTGGAATTACCGAACTTACCCTTAACTCTGAAATGAACATACTGGCACTGTAGTTTGTGGACGAAATAATGGAACATCTCTTGTTTTTTGAGCGAAATTCGTATATAAATATGGCTACAGAGCATGTTTACATTATAGATGATGTCAATTCGTAATGAGAACACTAATCTTTAACCCTTGAGTGATCAGTCCGAACTAGGACTCAGAAAAACCTCTTTTAATTCTTTTACGGGTTCGAAAAGATGGAAAATCTGTATCTGTATTACAAGTTCATATATCGTTATTGTTTTGGTGTACAGTCAGAGTAGTCTATGGAAGATAATTATAGGTTTACTAATTGTGTAAAATTAGTTTACACTTTACAATATTATTGTTTTCTTTCCCATAAAATGCCCATTTATAAAAGATGTTTTATTACAAACTTGCTGGGAATTCGTAACAGTTATTACCATAATATTGACTAACTTAGGTCATTAAGTTCAACAAACATAAAAAGTAATCATGAAGATAGATGTGTTTTGTTAAGCTTTTCTAGTTCAATGTAACACTCACAAACAAAGTGGTAATTTTTTAAAATTAAAGTATTCACTTCTTTGTCCAGATAACGTCACTAAAATTTTGTCTTGAAACTCAACACATTAGTTCTTACATTTCGTCACTTTTTATTTAACAGGAAAGCAACAGTTTTCGGTAACTGGTATGTATACCAAATTGTTGAGAATCATGATATTTACATGCATACGATATTTTCTTTCATTCTATTCACCTAATTACTTCACTATTCTTTTTCTTGTTATGTTTGCAAGGTTTTAATTACTATAGGAAATTGATTATAAATAGATAGATAAATGTCTATAAACTCAGTGTAAAATATCAACTTTAATTTACTTTTCTTTTTCTTTTCAATTCAAAATAGACATGTATTAATCCAATAGAATCATGCGTTAAAGTATTCGATGGATACTATATTGAAGTGATAGCTCTTCTCCTCGTTGGTTCAATATTATTTGTATTGTTCTTTTATCCAAAAGCAAAATATTTGCAAAGTTTACCAGTAACGAAATTTTATTACAATCCAAGTACTGATGAATACAGTTGTTTTGGTCGTAAATTTAACTGTTGTCGTAAAACGGAAAATCAGTCATTAGATATAACTGATAATTTTGAAAGTATGGAAAACAATACTGATACTACTAGTACTGCTGCTGTTGCTACTACTACTACTACCACTAATAATAATAATAATAATAATAATAATAATAATAATGATAATAATGGTGAAATCAAATTACTATTGAACAATTAATATATATATATATGGCCACTGATTATTTTTTTATTCATTTACTACCAAGATGGATATTTTCATAATTATGGTGAATTTTTATATTCGGTTACTAATATTTTCTACTTATAAAGAACAATTTGAAAATTTTATCCTTTTTTAAATTATTTGTGGAAAAAAATTAATTTAAGGCTACTTTTCTTCTTTCTTTAAAGAAAAAACAGAACTGTCATTTATTTTGTGTCGCAGATATTCTTATTTTGTAAACTAACGTGCAACCTTGTTTACTTATATTTTCATTATGCATAAATGATTCGTGAAAAATATTATCCTATTAGGAATGAATGATGATAACCGTTAATTAATGAAGAAAAGGAGATGAAGTATGTTTAGTGTTATGTTCTTACTGTTTTTTTTTTGATTATTGTTTTTTGTTGTATTCGAAATTTTTTATTTCTATTCAGTTGGTTGGATATATGAGATCAAGAAATCAATAACTGTCATATGTTTTCATATGTAAATGGAAGAAACAATGATACACACACACAGAGAGAGAATAAGAGTGAGTAGTGATATACAACGTAACTTTTGATTTCTAAATTTGCAGGGCAATATGATTGTTATTTTTATAATGATTTTGTACTTATCTACAGTCAGTTTGTATACAACTAACGATATATAAAGTTGAGTTAAATAAATTTGAATGAATGAATCTGCAATCTTTTAATTGGTGGATGTGTTTAAATGTTCCGTTGATGAACCGTTTTATACAATAAATACCGTCTTCCAAATTTAAAATTTTAATTGTTCGACAAACTGTCTGCAATTTTCAGTTGAAAATAAATTTCTTACGTTTTGGAAAATAAATGTCCACCCAAAATTTACAAAATATATATATTAAGATACTGAGAAAATGAATTTAAACTGTTTTACAAGCTGAGTATTCACACTAATCGAGCAAGAATAAATTTCAATATGTACTATTGTTATCGATTATATTTTGAATACTGAGTAACAGTTAAAGCCAGAACGCTCATTTAATCATATATGGAACTCGTCGATTAGAAGTATTGACATTTCACTGTAGGTGTCAAAACTGAGACTTGGACTCAATGCTCATCGCTTCAAAACGAACGGATAGAATAAAATTTTTGTTGTTCCTGGCAATATTCTTAGGTTTCGTATTCCGTCTAAGTAACTATTGGACGAAAGCGTTCGAAACTCTTGTTTGGTCAAAGATGATGAACTTACAGAAAACACAAGAAAGCGTTTCCCATAGGTTTTGAACTGAATTGAGGTAAATAAACCTAGTGTAATTGGATTCGAAACCGTAAGTCGTAAATTGCTTTATCTGAAATGTGTGTTTGTCAGTAAAAGTCGTGCCTCAAAAGAAATTACCAAAGGTTTGTGATGCTTACTGAAGTCGTACATTTCCTGCTCACCCATCGCATTGAAATTAATCAGAATATCAAATTCAAAGACATAATGGTATACCAATTGATGTTGCAGAAGCAGAAGAACATGAGATACCATATAATTATATAATTAGTGTACATTCGAAACTCAAAAGATGCGATTTATCTGGAATGCAGTACTATCAAAGGGAACAATAAAATGGAACGAGGCTTTCAAACGTTGAATAATAAGTTTCCCAGGTGTCGATAAGCTGTCAATAGCACAGTCAGAAGGGAAATAAATCCTTCAGATGATTGGATAATAATAATAACTACGATACCTATCAAAAACAACACAAGACCGTCAAACATACGCGCAATTAATAACATAAATCAAGCTCTATGAATTAAAAATTGCCGAGCTTCCCAGGTTAAGTTACGTTTCAATCAGTAGCATACATGATACAGAATAATTAATAAGATAGGAAAAATGTAGCAATACGAGTAGGAAACGCGTTTAAAATATCGGATATAAATGCGTATGATTCCCAAGTCTCGTAACGATTGATATTGATATAAGTTACGGAATAACAATATTATAGTGTGGTAAACCGGGGAAAAATGAAGTCAATGCTGAACATATATAACCATATATGCTTGTATGGACGAATAGAGTTGTCTAGGATAGAAGAAAACCACTAGCACTATCATATTATTAATTGATGGTATGTGTGTATAGTAGACAAAATAATGGTTAAACTAGAAGGATAATGAGCGTTATTTATGATAAATAATCTTATCAGGTCCTTTTTGAACTGAGAAATGTGTATAATGTAATTTTCTAACCGGATGGAAAGTGTTTCTGGAAAATAATAAGTTTTGTAAAATCGTAACATTAATTTTTTTTGGTATCTAATTCAATGAAGTCATATAATTTTAAGTTATGAACCACTACTTAATTGTGTAAACCACAAAATAGTTTGTTATGATTTTGTGTTTATTTTCATGAATGACCGTGTACACGGTTAAGTTTTGCTCATAAGTTAAACATACTTATAATACTTACTAATGGCCATTTTGTTGATTTGAACTTATCATAGATTTTTGTAGGTTGATGAATACGTTTTAACAAATAAGATACCTACATTTGTGATGGACAATGTTTTTGTGTTCAATATAAAAACATGAAAGTATGCTGTCCTTTTTAATAAAACAGAATAAATTATTCACTCAATAGTTTCCACTAAAACGTCTTAAGAGCTCTGTCCTCATACTTGGAATCACAATGTGCATATCACGATTAATATTTGTAGAAGATAAAATGAGCATGTAGAGTTGAAGAGTATGAAGAATACATACTATCAATAGTAAAGAAACAAAGAATTAATCTTCAATACATAGTTGATTTTCAAACAAACAAAATAACAACATTAATTTTTGTTCATTATAGTAAAAATAAACAGAAGTGTATAAAATGCTGGAAATGTTGAAGTTGATAATAATGCCGTTTTAGCGGCAAGAATCTTGTTCACTGATCTTAAAGAAATATATGGTAATCGTGCACCAGGTAATGCGCATAATTTACGACTAGTGTTGATTTTGATCTATCTATTGTAGCATATTCGAATAATTAAACAAGAGGATATTATTGAGATAACCGTTGGAAGACATACACTGAGAGTAAACCAAATGTACATTAAATTTTCATTATAAAAATACTGGGTGCAGATTTCTTCCGAGAATTTTAGGAACGCGTTGTTTGCTAATAAAGTTATGGAAAATATAAATATGGCTTGAATAACTGTAGTCATCTTCATGTTCACAACCCGTATGTAAGTTCGGCCGACTAGAATGAGAGAGTCTATCAAAGCACAGTAGAGCAAAAGCCCAAGTTGAAATGTCTGATGAAATACTATGCAAAAATGTGTGTAAGCGGCAGAACGTTTCTCCATACTTAACATTAAGATCAACTCCATATAATGACAGGTATGTAATTCTAACGGCATGTGTGAGGTGAATAATGAAACAGGTCATAACGATTACAAATATTTGAACCTTTGTTGAGAATCTAAGAGGACATTTCGGCCAATCCAGCCATAATTTTCTCGGGCAAACATTTTTATGGTTTTGATAATTTGACTTTCTTAAATGCCAACCAAACAAGTAAGCTATCCATGCGGAACCAATGAACAAATGTGAAAGTATCCTCATTATTCCAATGACACCAATCATCATACCAAATAACGTGGGTAAATCACTCATTATTTTTCATAAAGTTAGATAACCAGTTTTTGTTCATTCGCTTTCGTTTGAATTAACTTAGTTGGCTTTCCGTAGTAGTTGAATTCTTAAAACTATACCATGGGAACGATGCATCAAACAAGATAATTCTTCAAAATATATCTTCTGTAAACTCTTGACCAACCATAATGGAATTTCCCGATGGTGGTATGTATACAGAAACTTGTTTGAATAGTAAACGGTTAACTGCTAAATTATTGGTTGGTGTGTGTAGTGGATAATTATTTTCTGTGTTGGCGTAGTATCACGTAATGTTTTATTCACTTGGATAATTATATTGTGGCTAAAGAAAATTTATGGATGTATTTCAATTAAATTCACTCAATCAAACCTAGGCATTTTACAGTAAAATCTGTCGTGACATTTAATTCGCAGCTATATTTGTTTTAAATTTGGGTGGAAAGTTGGCACAATTTTGTTGGCTATATTTTTATCAACAAACTGAACTGATTTCTTAGTAGCTGTCTCCCACCCCCATCCTCAAAACAGGACAAAATCACCTAATATGCAAAAGGAATTTAGGCAATATTTGACGCGGCTAGACACAAACTGTAGAGAGGTATATAAATGACAAATATTCACTTTATAAATGGTTTTAGTGTTTTTTGTTGTTGACAGAATGTAATGGATTTTCATTAGTATTAGGAGTGTTTATAAAGTTATAGTCCGATATCAATTTACATACCGCTGAATCACTGCATCCACTTCCCAGTAATTTCTTACCTAATTAATACTTTGGCTTCAACTCTGATGTTCAGACGGAAAAACACAATTTTTCGCCCATTTTCGAAAGTCTATATGCCTTTACTTGTTAACTTCGGATATCACTCACTATTATTCCAGCATTCTTTCATTTTTTCTACATCTTTTTCTGTACATTTAGTTGCTACATCCACTCCTGGATAATTTCTTACCTAATTTATACCTTGTTTACAACCCTGTTGATTTTTTAATGACTGGAATTATTCTAAGATACCATTTACATACCGGTAAATTGAGTACATTTTAGCTGTATTTATAGTTAAACTTTTATCCACTCCTAATTACATACACATATCATATTAGCTTAAAGCATCATATCTAAAGAAGTATGACTTCCATTTTAATTACCTTCGTTAAGGTCAAGCGAAAATAGCATCTGAACTAATCAATCATTACCAATCTTATTAGCATTGATAAACTGAATGTTTTTCAAACACAGGAATTTAAACTAGATACCAATATATCTGTTTGTAAACAAATGAGTTAAGTTCTATGCAGCAAATGGTACACTCATAAACGCATGAAATAGACAGGTGAAATTGTTTTGTTCTCTTTTTGAAACTTCTAATTATTAAACATCAGAAATTTTCTCGTCATTTTATACTTTATTAAGAAATTTCACATTCCTACTGGTTATTCTACAACATTTTGTCGGTTTTTGATACTACTCATTAGTATTGGAACATAGTTAATTGACTTACTGAAATACAGAATATAGTTTTGGACAAGATATTTCGTCCCATTTATTTAATTATGTTTTATTTGTGTTTCGCTTGTTTTAATTTATATTATTATGTCGGATCCTACCAGCTTGTCGATCCAGTTCCTAATGTGAACTTTTAGTAAAGGTAATGATGACACTGTATCATTGATTCAAATGCGATAGTCTAGAAGGAATATTCAGTTTATGATTACAAAAGTAGTTGTAATAGC